AGAACTAAATGAAATAGAGGCAAATAAACTATCAGATATTGAGTTCCAAACAACGGTTCTAAGGAAGCTCAATGAGCTCAGTGAGCTCACAGAGAATTACAAAAACTACAGGAAAACTACCTGCAAACTATATCAGCATGAAAAAAGGACATAAAAACTATCAACAAGAGGCAAGAGGAAATGAAGAATACAATTTCTGAATTGAAGAACACAGTGAAAGGAATCAAAAGCAGGCTAGATGAAGCAGAGGATCGAATCAGCGAGCTGGAGGATGATATAGAAAAGAGCTCCCAGAAAGAGCAAGAAAATGAAAAAAGACTCAAAAAGAATGAAGAGATGTTTAGGGAAACGCACAACAACCTGAAATGTAATAATATCCGTATAATAGGGTTACCAGAAGGAGAAGAGAATGAGGATGCACAGAGAACCTGTTTGAAAAAGTAATGATGGAAAACTTCCCCAATCTGAGGAGAGAAAAAGTCATGTAAGTCCAGGAAACAAAGAGGGTCCCAGTCAAGAGAAACCCAATGAGGCCCACTCCAAGACACATCATCATTAAAATGGCAAATATCAAAGATAAACAGAGAATCCTAAGAAAGCAATGGAGAAAGAGGTAATAACATATAAGGGATCCCCAATATGACTAGCAGCTGACTTCTCAATAGAAATACTGCAAGCCAGAAGGGAGTGGCAAGAAATATTCCAAGTCATGAAAAGCAAAGGCCTGCAACCAAGACTGCTCTACCCACCGAGGCTCTCAATGAAAATAGAAGGTGAAATAAGGAGTTTCCCACACAAAAGAAGGCTAAAAGAATACATCTCCACCAAACCAGCATTGCAAGATGTGCTAAAGGGACTGACTTTAAGAAGATGAAGAAAGAGAGTCTATGAATGCCCAGTTCCTTTCACAGTCACCAATACTTGATATTACCAATATTTTTAATACTTATTAATCTGATTGTGACAATGAAGTGTTATTTTAATTGTTCCTTTATTATTTGTTGAAACTAAACCTGTTTTTGTATATTTCTTACCTATCTCTATTATTTAAAAACCTTTATATGACTTTTGGTATGCTTTATCCATTTTTTGATTAAATGTTTGTAGAATTTTTGCACTAAAAAAACTATTAACCTTTTTTTAGATGTGTTGCAAATATTTTCCTATTATATTACTTGTCCTTTAACTTTTTTTATATGTATATTACTGTATAGTCTTAAATGTTTAATACATATTGTCAGTATTTTACTTTATAGCTTCTGGGTTTCAATATTTTACTTCAGGGTAAGAAAAATAATTTCTTAATTATTTTTCTGTAAAAAAAATTATGTAAAAATACAAAATAATTTTGTATTTTCTCTTAAAACTCTTTAGATTTTATGTATTGATTTTTAGCTCACCTGAATATTTTTGTATAATGTGTGAAACAGGGCTCTATATATTTGTTTTATTTCAAGTAATAGTGGTCCATGCACCTTATTGGTTGAATAAGCCTTATTTTCCCCATTGATTTGAAATATCAACTTAACCATAGATTACAATGTTAGATAGATATATACATTTGTTTCTAGAATGCCCATTTAATTTCATTGATCTACTTTGATTATTTCTCTGCTGGGGTCATGTTGTTTTAATTGCTGAGACTTTATAAATGACTTAAATTTTTAAAATATTTTATAATGAATTTTGACATTAAAAAATAAATAAAATCAATCTGCATTTTTTAAAAAAAGAAGGAAGGAACTACCTTTAGTGACAACATGGATGGAAATGGAGAATATTATGCTAAGTGAAATAAGCCAGTCAGTGAAAGACAAATACCATATGATCTACCTATAAGTGGAATCTATTCAACAAAATAAACTAATGAAAATATAAACCAGAGGCATGGAAACATGGAAGAGACTGAAAGTGACCAGAGGGGATGGGAAAGGACAATGGTGGAAAGAAGAGGAAAGGCGTAGACAAAGAACATGTATGAATGACCCACGGACATGGACAACAGAGTGGGAATTGACTGTGGTGGGGAGGATGGGCTGAGTGGAAGAGGGCATAGGGGGTAAAAGTGACACAACTGTAATAGAATAAACATGATTTTTTAAAAAGTCACTTTAAAGCAAAAATGGTAGGTAATTACTATTATTATTATAAATCAATCAAAATCATTCCCTTTTTTTGTCAGATTGGAAAAAAAATATATTTTGTTGTGCCGCAGAAATTTAGTAATTAATTTAGGTGTGCCGTAAGATGAAAAAGGTTTAAAATTTCTGCCACAGAGCAATGGAGGTTTCATTAAAGGAATCATTAGAGCCAGCTGTTAATGCATCAACCTCTCTTTGAAAAGGGCAGGAAAAAGGAACTTTGGCCCAGACAGGTTCAGAGCTTCTGTTCCTGGTAACAATAAAACAGGAAATAAGCAACAGAGGCTTGTGAAAGGGAGTGACCTCGCTCCCCATCCTTGTGTCCTTGAATCACCATGGAGATGGCTGACTGGCTTAATAACGGTTGCAGATAGGGGTGTATTCATTTGGATGTCAGATAAGAACACTGTTGCAGAAGCCATTGGAACAGAGCTCTTAATGGAGGTTAAGGAAGGGGAGAATAAAAGCTATGGGGAGCAGGAGAGTTGCTGTATCTCAGAAAATCAGGACTGGTTTTAGAAGTGTTTTAGGGTGAACTTTTATTCAATTTTGATTCATAACATTACAATAATCAAAGTAATCTTTGTAGCCTATTGCATTACCTTGGTCCAGAACCTAAAAAAATACAAAAAGAGTTGATTATAACAAATGCACCTCAATATTTTAAGTATGTATGTTGATTGGTCTAGTATTTCCCATAACATGAGATGAATCAGGTATATTTAATGTACTCTCACAACCAGCATTTGTTTTTGTTTTTATTCATAATTGTCACTAATGTTACCGGGTTATAATGTGAAAGGACTTACTATTTAAAACACCTAATTTAATTATTCCATAATTTAATGTTGTTTTAACATTTATTGAATACTTATAATTGGAAGAAAAGACAGTGCCTCTGTGTGTGTGTGTGTGTGTGTGTGTGTGTTAAAAGACAATTTTAGAACATTGTGTTCACGTTTTAAAGTCAGTTTCAAATAAAAATTGAGACTTGTGAATGTTTTCCATTCTTTGTGCCTTCATGTTGATAGAAGAAAAGTAAGTTAACCATGTTCTATTTTGTCATGTAATAGATATCCCTAAATGACATAATTATCATTGTTGTTAAAGAGCTATGGATAGATGACATTTAAAACCTCTAATTGAATTATAAGTATCATTTATGGTTTATTCAATTCAAGTTAGCCGACATTTATTGGGCTAGTCATTGCATGAGACACTAGAAGTAAAAAAATGAATATAACAAAACAAAACCAAACAAAATAAGAATAAAGCATAGACCTAAGGGTGGAAGGCACCTCAAAAGTTAATTTTTTTTGAGCAACTACTCTGTGACAGGTTTCTTATTAATCTTCATAATAATTCTGAGGTATTATCCATGTTTTATGGACGAAGGGCTCAAAACAATTAAGTGTGTCCTGCTCGAGGTCCCAAGACTAGTTGGAGTCAAGATAGGGACCCAGACCTGTTCAACTGTACAGTATATTCTCTTTCCATTGGACCATTCTATTTGTATTTTAGTCATTGATATTAGGGCAGTCGGTGATGCAAGTTGTGAAAGAATTCACAAAGAAAAGAAAGTGTAGAGAGTAAAGTTTTATTTACTCTCCAAGAAAGGAGAAGGGCGAGGTGTGGATAGATACACCAGCATTGAGGGGTGGGGACTCTGAATTTTCATGGGATTATAACTGGATTAAAAAAGGGTGAGTGAGGTTGCTGTTGTGGGGCCCCTGGGCTGCTGGGGCGTTGTAACACGAGGCTGTAGTTTCAATGTTATCTTCTGTCTGTGGCTGTAGGGAGCAGTTAGTTCTCTTCTTGCTTTCCAGTGATTTCCACTCCTTGGGATATAAACTCAAAGGAGTAAATTGTCAGTCATGTTCAATAAGGTCATAGGCCAGCTCAGCAAATGGTGCCACAATAGCAAATGGCACTGACTCTATCCTTTCAATTGACTCCTGGGCAAAAGTAACTTTTATAAATGGCAGTTTAATAGTTTGCAATTTAACAAATGAATCATAATGGTGTGCTGTGATTATATACTTAAAAATAATTTTAAATTAGGAAATACCCCAAACATAGAAGTTTGAGACTTAATACTTGTGTAGTCATTATGAAGCCATATTATATCTTACCTTAACATTGTGCATGTTTGAGTCAGGCTTTTTTAAAGAAATAAAACATCATAAGAACAGCTGAGACTTACCCCCTCCCTGATGCTACTTCTTCTTCTTCCCTAGAGATAACACTACCATGAACTTGGTGTTTATGTGTGATTTACTTTTACTACGTGCTTATGAGTCCATAAACAACATATTATTTTGCAGGTTTTAAAACTTTTATTTTTTTAAGATTTTTTAAAATTTATTTTTAGACAGAGGGGAAGAGGGGGAGAAAGAGAGGGAGAGAAACATCAACGTGGGTTGCCTCTCATGTGCCCCTTACTTGGTGGGGACCTGGCCTGCAATCCAGGCTTGTGCCCTGACTGGGAATAGAACCATGACCCTTCGGTTTGCAGGCCGGCCCTCAGTCCACTGAGCCTCACCAGCCAGGGCAAAACTTTAAAAAATTGTATACAAAGAATATATTCTGCAACTTACATTTTGTGCTCAATAATGTTTTGAGATTTATCCACATGATATATGAAGCTTTAGTTCTTTAACTGTTAAATGTTGTGTAGTATTCCATTAACTGAATATACCAAAAATTTTTAATGCATTGTCCTGTGATTATTTAAACAAGATTCTGCTATGGTTTTGACTCCAAACATATCTAAAAGACTCTGATCATAATACTGTAACTTATATTTTAATTTAAAAAGTACAAAACTATCCACACTAACTTTTTTTTCCTTTGGTATAGATCATTCCCGAATTGAAGTATGGAAATTTGGTAACATCGTCATCGAGTACCTGTACCACTGGTCACACATCTGTTTAGCTCTCATGGAGATAAACAAAAAACTAAATAGTTCTGTTACACCTCCCTTGCCCTCCAAGACTGACTCCTGTGTGTATGCAAAAATGCCAGGTGGAAGCATGCTAGGTAAATGCTAATGGAATTGGTGCTATATTTAGGATATTTTTGTTATGTTCAGTTTTGTTAACTATAAAATACTTCCAACTGGAAAGGAGTGCCACGTAGACATATTCTGCTCCTAGATACTTACCTCAGCACTTTCTAAAACCAAAAGTGCTACCTAAGGAGAAATTTGATCTAAAAAATACCCAGTGAAGGTAGCCATAACCAAAGGCATATTATAGAATATATTTAAAAATTTCCTTTTAGTTTTAACTTTCTATCTGCCGTGGAACTATTACGGTTGATTAGACAGAGTTATTTTAATTTTTTTAAGGCACAAAATAAATACTGCAGTTTTAGGAAAAAATGGCAGTTTTTACATCAAAATAGTAACTAGTAATATTTTAAGAAATGGACTGGGAATTGTTTTTCCAATTTTTCAGACGTATATAAGTACCACCCTTCCTCCCCATCACCCACCTCCCACCTCCATACATACTTAAACAACTTAAAAGTTATTTCAATGAATATAAATTCTTGTGGGAAAATGTTTATCCATTTCATAGAAAAAAGAAATCACCTTTAAAAGAAGAATAACAAAAACCTCTCAAGTTCAAGAACTGCAGAAAGAATTTATATTTATTTAAGACTTGTTATTACAGCAAACTTTACTGCTTTCTTGTGAGATTTCATCTCTGCAATAAAATATCTGATGACAGTCCATTTTTAATAAAATTTTGGGAAATTAAACTTCATTTTCTTTATTTGGTTGACAAAATGTGATGTGTTCCAAACATCTTCTAATTTGAGACTTGAGGTCCCTTTTAAACCTTTTCTGATAAGAGGGCAATGTTATTACCAGTCCTCATCTCCTGGATGATCGCATGCCCAGTTTTAACCCATAAACCTTTTCTGTATTGGGAAGAGGGCCTTTCAGGGCATTTGCAGCAACATTTCTAGGAACAATGTTCTTGAAGATATTAAACAGATAGCCATGTATCCTGATGGCTTCAGAACAAGCTTATGAAGAGTTCACAGTAAATACAAATGGTATTTTAGGCAGCAAGAAGGGCAAATTCTTGCAGAATGCTACCTTTTAACCACTATCATGGGAATTAAGTTAACTAAAGGGCATTTAACTCAATGATAATAAATATTATATTGGCATGGTGCTTTAACTTGTTTGAAATATCTTCACATACCAGCTCATTTGATCCTCCCAATAACCTGTAAGATAGGCAGTCTCAATATTATTATCTCCATTTTATAAATGAGAAAGTCTCTAAGAGTGAGTGAGTTACGTAGGCCACAACAGCTCCTAACAGGCGGGGTAGAGCTAGCACCCACGTGTCCTAACTTCTGGTTACTGCCCTTGCCAGCACCCCAGACATCTCACTAACACTTTCCAACCTTTACTAGGATAATGACTATGCATTCAGTCTTTTGGAAGTTACTTTAAAATTAAACAACCAGCAAGGCAGATTGGTTGAATGTATTTAATCACCATTCAAGTAAAATACTACCCCTTAACACCAGGACCTTACTTTTAGTGAAGGAGATGTTATTCATACCTGACAACAGTTTAGTTTTAGATTTATATTTAAATCTATTTGACTAAGTCAGCATGCCATGGCACACTAGTGTGCCACAAGAATTTTTAAAACATGTGTGCCATAGCACACCAGTTGACTACTTAGTGTCAGGTATTGCATGTTTTAAAAATTCTCACAGCATATTGGTTGAAAATCGCTGGACTACATAATTTATTGATTTACTTAAATTTACTTCTACAATACTTCAGATCCCTAGACTTGATTATTTGAATTTGTATTGACTCCTTACCCATAGCTTATAGGTAACAATGATATTGTATGGTATAGACAATCCAGACCACTTTCCTTCACAGTTACAGCTTTCCATGGTCCAGGAACAATACAAGGTTTCAAGACAATGATATTGGAATCTCAGAAAATTTCCTATTGGCTCTTATAACAGCTTTATTGAAATATAACTCACATACTATAAAATTCACCCACTTAACATGTACAGTTCAGTGGTTTTTACTACGTGCAACCATTATAAAAATAAATTTTAGAACATTTTTATCACCCCCATCAGAAATCCCATACCCATTTGCAGTCAATCCCTATTTTCCCCCACCCCAGCCCTAGGCAACTGTTACTCTTGCTTTCTCTGTGGATTTGCCTATTCTGGACATTTTACTTAAGTGGAATTGTACCATATGCGGTCTCTTATGACTGGCTTCCCATTCCGTCTTAATGTAAACATGATCAGACAACCAGCTGCTCTTAACTCCCACAGACACCCCCGATCCACGGACTGAGAAGACCTCTCTGCAGATAATTTCTAGACTTTTCATTCTTCTCCTAGGTTTTATGCAATGCCACTCCCACCTAGCACACCCCATGTCATCATTAACTCTGTTTGTACTCTCCCCTACATGATCTTACAAAGATTTCTCCCAAAAGACAGGACCGATGAACTCAATATTGCCTATTTCTTTGTCCTTAGGGATGATAATTACCCTCTCTGAGTCTTTCATCTCCTAGTCATTAACTGTATTTTACTTCTCCTAAATACACTGTCTGAGCTTAGCTGTCCTGCCTGCAGACTGCAACTGGTGAGGCACCTCTAGGTCACCATATTTTGTTCCATGTGACCCTGACTCTCCAGACACAGCTATTGAAATTGGGATTGACCCTTTGTCAAAGGGAGACCAATTTGTGAAAATGACCTAATATAAAACACACCCAAACCATAAGCAAATCAAACTGGAAATAGCAATAGGCGTGTTGTCTAGAAGGATATTGTTTAAAGACAGCAAAAGTGTCATGAGTCCTTTAAATAAATTAAAGCATACTGCCTTCCAGACACTACAACTCAGCAGAAGCTGTAGATAAAGGGTAGAGAATGAGTACTTGGTTAGGGGGGAAAAAATGGACACAAAGAGAAGCAGAGACTTAGAGAAGTAACATTAATGTCCAAATATTAAATAGAAAATCCATGAGTTCGGGTGCTGAGGTCCTCACAGTTGCCTTAGATCCAATACCAGTTGATTGTTCTGTTCTTGAAGTCTTATTTCTAGAAGTCTGAGAAAGACAGAATGCTCTGTTGTGTAACAATCAGGAGTATGATAGTCAGGATACTACCTTTTACTGGTTTACTCTGCTCTGTCCTTCCAGCATCTTTAATTAAAGTTCCCACTCTTGACTTCAAAATGTTAGGTTTCTCTGTGTCTTGGATTCACTGCTGCAAGTACCACCATTGCTGCAAACCCTGCCAAGTGATTGAAGAATTTGAACTCTCTGCAACATTGCATCTGAGAAATCAGCCTTCTAGCTTTGGGAAAATCTCTCAAAGGCAGTGGAAGAATACAGAATTCAATATACCAATTTAAAAGCTCACATTGATATAGGATATTGAGCTGTACTTTGTGTAACTAATTCTCCATTCAGTCTCTTTAAGCAAGAAGCAGACAGCCTAGGCTGAGGCTTTATTTTTACCATTTATTATTTTATTTTTAAAAATATTTTATTTTTAGAGAGAGGGGAAGGGAGGGAGAAAGAGAGGGAAAGAAACATTGATGTGTGAAAGAAACATTGATCAGTTGCCTCTCACACGCCCTCAGCCAGGGAATTAGCAGGCAAACCAGGCACATGCCCTGATCTGGAATTGAACCAGTGATCTTTTGGTCCGCTGGAGGACTCCCAACCCACTGAACCACACCGGTCAGGGCTGAATTTTTTTTTTTTTAACAAAGTAACACATGCTCATAGTTTCAAGAGTCATCAGTAGTACAAGGTTTGTTAAGACCAGAGCATTTCCCAGCCCCACCCCACCCCTATATTCCTTGCTTCTGAGTAAACTACTTTTCAATTCACTTAGCCCAGGAGTTAACAACCCACAGGCTAAACCTGGTCAGTTGCTTGTTATGATAAAGTTTTATTGGAAAAGACTTGCCCATATTGTCTATGACTGCTTTCACACTCCAAGGGCAGAGTTAAGTAGCTGCCACAGTCACCTCTGACCCACGAACCTAAATATTTACTACCTGACCCTTTGCATAAAGTTTCCTAGCACCTATTTTAGCTTAGTTTTGACAGTGCCTCCATATTGCAAAATAACATGCTGTGTGGCTATCATTTTTTCTGACTTAGGCAATATTTATTAATCTCCAAGTGTGCAATAGAGACTTAGCTCCTTCCTCAGCATGTGGAAGGATATATACATACACATTTCCCATCCCTCTATTCTTCCCAATTACATTGTAATTTAGATTAGAAGAGATCAATATTCAGTGTCTGCATTACTTTTTAAAAGATTTTATTTTTAGAGGGAGGGTAAGGGAGGAGGAAAGAGAGGGAGAGAAACATCAATCAGTTGCCTCTTGCACACCCCCAAATGGGGACCTGGCCTGCAACCCAGGCATGTGCCCCAGCAGGAAATCAAACTCGCCCCCTTTCTGTTTGCAAGCTGGCACTCAATCCACTGAGCCACACCAGCCAGGGCAAGTATTTGAATTATTATAAATATGTATGCTATTTATGGCTTAGCCATGTTGCAAATTACAAGTATTTTCCTTTTCTGAACATCTTTATGCTTTCCCTGGAGTTAATGTCAAAAGAAAACTTTTGGAGTGGCTGGAGTGACTATAATAATATCACACAAAGTAGATTTGCGAGCAAAGAATAATACCATGAGAAAGAAGGTCATTTCATAATGAAAAGGGGGCCAGTTAATTAAGAAAACATAACTGTCTTGAAAATGTATACACCTAATAACAGTTTCAAAATGCTTGGAGCAAAACTCCAAGTCCGTGGAGAGAGAAGTAGATTACCATTGCCTAGGGTTGGGGCTTTGGAGGAAAATGAGAGTGACTAACAGATGCATGGTTTGCGGGGGATACTAAAAATATTCTAAAATTGATTCTGGTGATGGTAGCACAACTCTCTGAATATTACTACAAATCAATGAACTGTATACTTTAAGTGGGTGAATTTCATCGTATGTGAAT